CAGGTGTGGTGGCACATAACTGTAGTCCCAGCACTAGGGAGGCTGAGGCAGGAGGACTGCTGTGAGCTTGAGGCCAGCCTGGGCTACATAGTGAGTTTATGAAATACATAGGGAGACCCTTTCTCACACAATTAAGAAAAAGAGACTACAAAGCAGAAGATATTGCTCAAATGGAGAACAGTTCTTGCAGAAGAGGCCATATTTGTGCTCCAAGTTTCCTAGAAGCTGTCCTGTGACACTCTGGGACCTGCCAGAATTTAGAAGACTGCTGTCTGCCACGGACATTCAACAGCACAGGACCTGTCACGTTTCCTGGTAAATGAGTCAGAGCAGCAGACTCCACAGTGGTCTATAGTGTCTCTAAAAGTCAAAGAAAGCCACTAGTGCAGAGTCCAGCACTCAGTCTACCAGCTTTACTAAACAAACTGAGCCATTCCTAGCTGCTAGAAAGAAAACACCAAATCCCAAATTTCTTGTAAATTTGCTCTATCTGTAACTAACTGGGTCCAACATTATGCTCCAGATTGAGCCCGTTAGAATCTATTTCCAGGTTTCTGCTGATGAGTGGGTTAATGTCCCATAGTTTTTTTCAGCACATGAGCAGCCTTTGTAATTGTCGTTGGGACTTACTAAGTAATGGGTGCTAATGAGGGATAGGCTTTGAGAAGGTGGCATTCCCTAGTCAAGTGGCCACTGCCAGTGAGTAAAGGGAACTTCAAATAAGAAAGGCTCATCTCCTCAGACAGGAGACAGGCAGGAGACAGACAAGACAGCCACATCCACTAATGAGGAGACTCCAAGGGGTTGGGTGGATAAAGGTGCTTGGATGTACTCCCAACACTCCCCACCCCAATGTTCAAGGGCCCCACTCTTCCCAGTCTATAGCCTAACTTCACATATGACTGCAGCTGTGAATTCATTTTATGTTGCAAGTACGCATTAGGTAGAGTCAAAGTCTGGCCTTCAGCTCTATTGGCCTACGCAAGCTACAGGAAACTGGTTGTCCAAAAGGTGATCCCACAGTTCAAAGTCTGAGCTTTGACTTTCTGAAACTTCTCCACTGCAATCAGAAGATAGCCCACCCAAGCCTTGTGACCATCACTGGCACTGTGATACTGCAGCAGTTTTGCTGTCAATGGACATTCCACATCATGGCTTCTGTCTAGATGTCCCCTGAAAGCCTCATTTGGTCATAGGTAGGGCTTTTCAGAGGCATCTGGATGTAGAGTGTGTGGTGCTGGCATTAAGGATGTGTGATTACTAAATCAGTCCACTGATTGGGGTGGCATAGTTCTGGGTGTGGATAACGGGAAGGCCCAGCCTGGGAGTGAGTGCTACACAACCTAAGGGCCTGTAGCCTAGATAGACTGTAAGGAACAGAAACAGGGCTGCTGCCTTCACTTGCTGATTGCTGCCTCCTGCCTTCTGCCTCCCATACTATGAACATTTTTTTTTTCTCCTCTGTGATGCCTCTCTGTCATGCCACCCTGCTTTGGAGTCAGCAGATTATGGACTGAAACCTCTATAAACTGTGAGCCAAAATAAACCTTTCCTCCTGTAACTTTAGGTGTTGGGTATTTTGGCTCAGCAGTGGGAAATGTAAATAAGACAGCTGGTGATAATTTACATAACATAACTGTTTCACTAGGGCTTGCTGTCAGTGCATTAATTCACATAACCTGTCAGATTCCCATTTGTGTGGGTGTTTCCTGGGTCCACTCCAGGGACCACACATATACAATTCGTCACTCCATCAGGAAGGCAGAAACCTCTCAAGGTATTTCGAACAGGAACTTAATATCTGGAATTGAACTCAAGGATTTTTGAAGAGCTGGAGGACAATAGGAAAGGGAAGGAGCTCTGAGCCCAGGGAAGGAAATGCCACCTAGAGGTCAGGAAGCTCTTACTGCCTCTGGTCTGGGGCCCAGGCACCTACACTTGAGGTTCTGCTATAACTGAAACCCCAAATCTGCTCCCCATCTGGCGCTGCTCACTGTACCAGCCTACACTCACCACCCTGTGGCAGTGCCTTCACACTAGAAGATAAACAATGCTTCCTTTTTCCCACTGTAGCCTCTCACATGTACCTCCCTTGGTGCCTAACTGAAGCCAGCTGGCAGGGAATCTGGCAGTGCAATGAAGGGCCTTTTAGCATTGACAAGAATGGTGCAAAGAGGCATCGGAAAATAATGCGCACACCTCTCATGGAGCTGTGAAGATAAAGTGAGCTAATAGATACAGAGCTAACAACAGAATGACTCTCACTCATTGTGCATTTCCCAGTGCAGGGAGGTTCCTAAGAATTATAGTCTACTTCTTTCACTTGCAGTTCATCTTTCTCTTAAGTGCTGTGCGTTTCCCCTTTTCCATACTGAAGATTTCCTTCTTTTTATCTCTCCCAGGTTCCCAAACTATAATGCCTGCAAACATTGCCTGCAACTTCCATAAGCCAATCTTCTCATCCTTCTTGAATTCTTTTGGCTTGCTTTCTTTTTTGCTCTTTTCTTAATGCTCCAAACACCTTACCATTTTATTTCCTCATGGTAACCCACCCTTCTCTCAAACATACTCAAAAGAGAAAGACAAACTATACGATACCATCCATAGAAACCACCTCCCTTCCTCCCCCTCAGAACGAAAGCTGAAGTTCTCACCCAGTGGCCTGAGCTGATCCCACCTACTTGCTAACCACATATCCTGGGCTCTCTGCTTCACCTATGGAGATTCAGCTACTTTGGTCCTTCAGCTCCAAGGCATTTTCCTTCTTGGGTGTCCTTCCCAAAGGCTGTTTTGGTTAAAAAGCCCATCTCTTTCCAGCCTTTCTGCATGGATGGCTGCTTTTCTTGTGCCACTTCTCAAAGAAGCCAACCTGTCATGCTTACATGGTTTTGCTTTCCTCACGGCACTTACCATCGGAGATATTTCTATTTATGTCTTGGTCTGCCTCAGGCATGAAAGTAAGCTCGGTGAAAGCGAGTTTTGGCTGTTTTGGTCACTGGCTGTACCTTTGTGCCTAGAGGTGCCTCAAGTCATCCTTCAGTATCCCTAGGTTCCACACCTATAGAGTCAAGTGACCTGGGGTAAAAATATTCGGGAGGTAAATTTCATCTGTACATGTCATGTACAGTTGTCATTATCCCCCAAATAATACAGTTTTTAAAACTATTCATACATCACTTACAGGGCTAGGGATTTAGCTCAGTGGTTCCGCCACCTGCCTCACAAATGCAAGGTCTGAGTTTGATTGCTGGTACCAAAAAAAAAAAAAAAAAAAAAAAAAAAAAAAC